GCACCGGTGTATAAGACGCACCAAGATTTTGAAGAGGTAAGTAAGAAAAAAGGTTTTTGTCTCCCCTGCCCCCAGGAGCACTCTGCAGGCTTCAGTAGGGCTGGGGGAAGGGGAAAATGCTCCCATTTTGGTGAAAAATGGCCCATTCTTCACCCATTTCTGTCGTCCCCAGCCCCCAGGAGCACTCTGAAAGCCTCCTAAAGGCTATGCACAGCCATTTTGGTGAAGGGTTGAGCAAAAAATGGCCCATTCTTCACTCATTTCTGTCGTCCCCAGCCCCCAGGAGCACTCTGAAAGCCTCCTAAAGGCTATGCACAGCCATTTTGGTGAAGGGGATGGGGTTTCAGGAGGCAAAAAAAATGCTATATTCAGATTTTCAGCCTCTTTTTTGAGGGAAAAAGGTGCGTCTTATGAAAAATACGGTAGTAAGAAAAAAAAGGGAACGGAAAGAAAACATTTAGTTATGCTTTCCACCCTTTTTTTTATAAGTCATTACCATCTTACACTTCTCCCCATCCTCTGGCCCTTTTTAATTCCCAAACTATCAGTTCAGTTTTTTCCTCCTTCAACAAAAAGACAATAAAGGTTATGCTGTTTTTTCCCTGATTGGTCAGATTCACCATTGGTCAGATTTGCCATTTCTGTATGTTCAATTAATTTTATAATTCAGTCTGTGTATGCAATAAGCTTGCTGCTTTGACTGGAGGCCTTCTCAATAGCTGCTCCCTTGCTGTGAAACAACTTGCCATCTGAAGCCTGTATGGCTCCATCCTCATGTTCTTTTACAAGTAGATGAAAACAAGATTGTTCCAGAAGGCCTTTATAATTATTGTTATTTACTGTTTGCCTTCTTACACCATATTTTTTTTGTGTTCTGCTTTTAGTAATGTGCTATTTATTTAACATATAGTGTGTGTGTGTTGTGTTGTGTTCATACATTCTGGATTCTGCCTAGAATCCAGTTGGTTTCAGACCGTCAGATAAATTTCATAAATAATACACAAGTTGCTTTCGTACATTTAAATAAACAAGCACATGCAGAAAAACATGGTGAAAATTAAAGGGGGGAAATGAAAACATTAATTGCACCAAGGAAGAAAGGAACAAACCTGGAGGGAAATGAGATGAGAGAATAACAGAAAAGGCAAGAGAGTATGAGGTCTTTATTAAATAAAGGATTATTAAATAGCATACAAATCCCTCAGGGGAACAGCACCTTCCAGGAGCAGTTAATCTTGAGGTTAATTTTTAAAGGCAATTTTCCAGCAGTAGCGCCATTACCATCCATTAGCATCACATGCTCACTTTTTTTTATTTCAACAGCTTCTGTTTTTATCCAAAGCTTTACTCCAGCAAGTGTAAGACCAACTCACTTGCCAATCCACTCTAATTATTGGATGGGGAAAACCTTAGCTTTCTTTTATTTATGGTAAATTCAGCAACATAGGTAGTCCTCACCCAAAATCTCTGTTGCTAAGCGAGATGGTTGTAAAGTGAATTTGGCCCCATTTTACGACCTTTCTTGCCATAGTTGTTAAATCGCTGCAGTTGTTAAGTTAGTAACAACTGTAAAGGGAATCTGGCTTCCCCATTGACTTTGCTTGACAGGAGGTCACAAAGGATGATCACATGACCCCGGGACACAGCAAAGGTCATAAATTTGAGTCAGTTGTTGCCAAGTCTCTGGATTTCCATGTCACTAAATGAACTATTGTAACTCAAGGGCTACTTCTATGCCTTCACTCAATAAACCTAGGAGATACGTTGGGATAAGAGATAATAAATGACCTGGATATCACTCAGTGAACTTCTATGGTTGAGTGTGGATTTTTTGACCCTGATCTAAGGCCCTAACAATAGCTGTTCACTGTTGTTACTGTTGCTTGAATGGATACTATGTTTAATTGGCTGCACATGTATGTAAAGGAAATTCACAATCAAAGAGAGGTTGCTATATTTTGAACACAAATGTTTGCCAATGAGCCTTGCTGCTTGAGAGATACATTCCTAGATACTCTGATTGCTTGCTCAGGGATATACGGTCTATAGCTGTGATGGCGAACCTATGGCACACGTGCGCAAAGTAACACATAGAGCCATGTTGCCTGGCATGCGCAGTACCGGCCATTCCTCTTCTGGGTTTCCGGCACCGCACAACAATCAGCTGGCCTTCATGCATGCTGCAGTACCGGAACCTGGAAGAACTGGTCTTCCGTTTTCTGGCGTGAGCATGCACCCTGGCCAGCTGATTGTCATGTGTGCATGTACAGCAGTAACCAGAGGACTTGCTGGCCAGTGCGCATGCATGCACCGTAAACCCGGAAGTTCATTTTAGGGCAACTGCTCTTCCTGGTTGCAGCCCAGACAAGCTCACGCTCATACATGCTCCCTTTTTGGCACTCGCTGCCGAAAAGATTTGCCATCACTGGTCTATAGCAAGTCTCCAACCTTTCCAGCTCTGTGGTCTGGTGAAGACACTGGAAGAGAGGGGGTGGGGTGTGCACGCTGCTTTCACAAATGCAACTTTGCACACGTGCATACTCACCCACTACTTCTGCAGTCCAGTTCCAAATGGACTGCAGCCCGACACTGGGCTGCGGACCAAGAGTTGGGGACCCCTGGTCTATAGAATATTAGATGTTTTACATACAGTGGTGATGGATGTTTGGAATTGTAGTTCAGCATTATTTGGAATGCCTTAGGTGTGCTAGTTGCAGGCATAGGTGCAGTTGTAGCCAAATAAGGTTTGCCCACACCACATACAGGAAGGTGGTATTAACAGAATCCTTCTGTTCACAAAAGTACAAATAATCCAGAAAGAAAAATACTTGTGAGTGTGAGGATGATTTAAAAACACACACACACACAAAATATCCAAGGAAAAATTGGCTGCAGAATACACACCTTCTGTTAGGGGAACAGAAATGAAAAATCAATGGAAATGGAATTACAAACTGACTAGGAGTATTCCGAACTCTAAAACTTTGTGTCACTCTCAGCTCTCTCAAACAGTTGTAGATAATTTTAGGCAATCAGTCTTTTTCACAGCTGAAATTAAATTTGGAGGAGAGTATGAAAGTGCTGAATTGCAACTTGGAAAGCAGTTTAATTTTATATCCTCAGTACTCAGTGCCAGGAAATTTGAGTAGTCTACATACACTGTTTTGGTTATGTCCTGAGTTAATACCGTAATATGATGATCACTTCCTGTATTTTCTACACTTTGTTTTCCTGTGATCATTTTGTGGGTACATGTATCTGCAGATCACTGATGAAGTCCATTTTTTTTATTTAAAAAATATTCTCATGTAAATTTGTCAGCCTTTAAGAGTTCACATGGGTGAGGTTGGGGTCCTTACCATACTAATATTTTTGCTAACACAGCTACTTATTTTGAAATAATTTCACTGGTAAAGTGACATGGGCAATTATTGTCATACTTGTAATATAATGATAACATCGACTATTTTGTAGGGTTCTTAGTAGAATATAGTAAAGAGCTTAAATGTGCTAAAATTGTAAGTGGGTTCCATGTTGAGTTCCATTTAAGAAATCTGTTAATGAAAAATTGAAAATTACAGCCCTCTCTAAATTGTTTACAGAGTCAGCATATTGCCCCCAACAATCTGGATCCTCACTTTACCAACCTCAGAAGAATAGAAAACTGAGTCAACCTTGAGCTGGTCTGGATCAAACTCCTGGCAGTGAGCAGTGAGTTAGCCTGCAATACTGCATTCTAACCACTGCATCACTAGAGCTTTATGGAGTATGTGGTGTTCCTTCCTATTTTATCCCCATTTCAATGGCCCTTTGAGGTAGGCTGGGCTCAGAGAGAGTGACTGATGCAAAGTCTCCTGGAAAACTTTTGTACTTGAGGGTACATTTGAATCTGACTTTGCCTGGTCCATGACCATGCTAACCATTATATGCTGCTTGTCTGAGTTTGTTACAGAAATCAAATCCAGAAAGCACACACAGGTAACTGATGCAGCAGGATTCATTAACTTCTCTTTATATGTAATGTATCACATGAGACATATATACAATACCAAGAGTGCTTCTTTCAACGTGGTAGAGAGGAAAGATTGGTTTCAGTTCCAGCAGCAGGTTAGTTTTTAGCTTTAGCACAGACTCAGATCTATAGTACTAAGTCACACCCAAGGTCCCATTGGCTGATTGTTGCTATGGCCTATTCCAGTTCATGAATATATCTACTCTTGACAGTGCTGACTATTTATTAGTTACTGGTATATGTGTTTGTGCACAGAACTACATTTTACCTAACCTTAATCCTATTTAGGTTTTTTTTTTTTTTACTGTGGCTATTGACTTTTTAAATAAAATTCTATTAAATGTGCTTAATATATTAGGCAGGTTTTGTTTTTCCTTTAGAAGGAACTTGCTGAGGATGTTCATAATAAAGTTACTTGTTATTGTGATAAAGATCATTTGCCTGCATCTATCTGAAAACTTTTCTGAATTGCTTTGGTTGAAATTATACTAGAGCATACCTAATGTTTGACATTATTGTTCTGTATCTCTACATTCTATATTTTGTTTATTGGGATTTACTCTAACGTAAATGGGAATAAGATCAAATCATGAGTGTTTTTGTTAGTGCAAATCACACCACACACAGAGGGGTGGGTTCCTGCCGGCATTACTACCGGTTCGGCGCACACATTTTTTTGTTCCGCACACATGCACATTTGCACCTTAAAAGGTCTGTGCATGCACAGAACATTAGAAAAGGAGGAAAAAGTAACAGTTTTCCAATGAAGATTGTTCTGCACATGTACAGAACAGAAAAATCAAGATGCCGCCGAATATAGAACTGGTTCAAGCAAGTGTCCGGCTGAGTTACTACCTACTCGACCTCTGCGCACATGCACACACACAGAGGGATTGATTGATTGATTAGTTGGCTATTTTAATTTCAATTTCTATGGTAATCCACTCGTGTATTTGTGTGTGTGTGTGTGTGTGTGTGTGTGTGTGAAGAAAGCCTAATGATTGTCTTGTTCTTGTAGGTCTCAGTGGATAGAGTTCTAAAGACACTGAAGGAGAATGCAAATAAAGCAACTAGTTTGCTACTCACTGCCATACCTCAGATTGGATCCATGGAATGGTCAGAAACCCATCAGAACTTGAAAGTAATTTGATATTTCTATTTAATTTATTATTTAAGTATATGTGTTTCTTATTTTTAAAAAAGTTTCCAGGATACTTTTAATGAGGGAAGCTCCAGCCCACTGACCCTCCCCCTCCCCCAGTGGAAGTAGAATTTATATTGAAAAGCTCTAATGCCATAAAAACTAACTACAGTTGGTACAATACAGGTAGGCCTCAACTTATAACCACAATGGAGCCCAACATTCTTGTTGCTAAGTGAGATAGCTGTTTAGTGCACTTTTTCCCATTTTATGACCTTTCTTGCCACAGTTGCTAAGTGAATCATTGCAGTTGTTAGTAACGCAGTTAATCTGGCTTGTCCATTGACTTCGCTTACCAGAAGGCCACAAAAGGTGATCACATGACCTCAAGACAATGCAGCCATCATAAATATGAACCAGTTGCCAAGTATCACATGACATTTTATCACATGACTATGGGGATGTTACAGTGGTCATAAGTGTGGAAAAATGGTAATAGATCACTTGTTTCAGTACCATAAATTTCAAACAGTCGCTAAATGAATGGTTGTGTCATAAATTACCTGTAATATTAAAACATTGCAGTGGTAACATAGGTAAGATTGATAAAATGTAGAAAATCTAACATTCAGAACATGCTATAGAGTTCTGGTTACACAGTTAAAAATCCAGAACAGCCCAATTAAATCTTCTTTAAGAGCAAAACATCATTCAAATTATTAATTTGGAGGCAGATATATACAGTTTTTTTTAATGAACTTGAACCTTTAAATTAAATAGAGCTCATCTGCTCACCCATCAACGGTGCACTTCCTTGCATTATCAATAAGAAGCTGCCTTAACATATTCAGACTCCAATTTTAAAAAAAATAAGTTGTGTGATCCAGACATCCACTCCCACCAATTCTTGGACTTCTGGTTTTTGCAATTGCCAAACAGTTTGAAATATATTGATGTTCTAACTCCCCAAAAAACGTTTTAAAAATCCTGGACATTTTGCAGTAGATACTTATAATCCATGCTTACATGCATGCACACCCATGTGTTCACATCATAATTAAGAACTTTTGTTTAAACACTGAAACAGAGAGCTGAAGAATTTCAGAGCCACAGTAGTAAGAGTCTGGGTAAGTAAATACTGATTCCAGAAGCATACAACTAGGCACCAGTTCTGTACTGTAGGCCCAAGAAGGACATTCCATGAATTAGTTCAGGGGTCTCAAAACTTAGCAACTTGTGGACTTCAACTCTCGGAATTCCTCAGCCAGCCATACTGGCTTGCCAATTCTAGGCATTGAAGTCCACAAGTCTTAAAGTTGCCAAGTTTGAAAGTCCCTGAAATAGACGCTCTCTAGAACAGAGCTCCCAACTTTTCTGGCTTTGCGGACCAGTGGGGGGAATAGAGGGGATGGTTCCACCCAAGAAACAGGCACATGCACCTGCTGCTCACATAAGTTGGGGTGCATGCATACATTCGCCCACCACTTCCACAGCTTGGTTCTGAACGACTCACAGTCCAGTAGTGGGCTACAGCCCAGGGTTTGGGGACACATCTTCTAGAAGGTAATAGCTACAAAAGTTTGATAACTCTTGTGATGGCACTTGCAACACTGAAGGAATCACCTGGAGAATTTGGATCATGACAAAGGCTATAAAAACTGGAATCAATCCATATCTTATAGATGGCAAATCTACAGTAAAATTAGTGAGCTGACTTCCAAATCATCTAAGCCCTTCTTTGGGCAGTTATCCTTCAACCTGGCTTTATTTGCAGCAAATGTCCAAACAATCAACTATATTTAAATACAAGAGTAAAGTTGTGTAAATCTTAAACTGTGCATTCTTTAGCCCAGAAACAAGGAAACTATGTCTCTTACATGTTAAAAGGTAAAGGTTCCCCTTGCACATATGTGCTAGTCGTTCCCAACTCTAGGGGGCAGTGCTCATCTCTATTTCAAAGCTGAAGAGCCAGCACTGTCCGAAGACATCTCTGTGGTCATGTGGCTGGAATGATTGAACACAGAAGGCGCACGGAGCGCTGTTAACTTCCCACCAAAGGTGGTCCCTATTTTTCTACTTGCATTTTTACATGTTTTCAAACTGCTGGGTTGGCAGAAGCTGGAACAAGTAATGGGAGCTCACTCAGTTATGTGGCACTAGGGATTTGAACTGCCGAACTGCCAACCTTTCTGATCGACAAGCTCAGTATCTTAGCCACTGAAAGCTCAGTGTATTAGCTACTGAGCCACTCCGTCCCTGGTTTACATGTTGTTCATGTTTTAATCCCAGGTTGTTAACCAATGGTAAGATATGCCAAGATGTTCTTCAGCAACACTTGGTAAATCTCAAGTTTCCTTTCTGTATTCTAGAAAAAAGAGAGTGGCAATTTTGATTCATATTTATCTCCTCCCCTGGATAAGAAGAAATGTTGTAGATTTGGAACACAAAATATGATATTTTGTAGGAAGAAAGCACACTTTAGTTGACCTCTTTCCTTACAGATAGTCCTCGAGATACAACCACAGTTGAGCCCAAAATTCCTTTAAAAAAACATTTTAGATTATAGAATAAAATACAAAAATACAAAATCAAATAGTAAGACATGGAGGAGGGGGCGAGAAGAGGGAAGAAAAGGGAGGAGCGGAGGAAGAAAAGGGGGGAAAAGCATTGATGTCCGACTCCCCGTTGCAGTAGAACAAAGCATTAACATTGAACCTCAACTTTTCACTTTTCCATAATAAACTAGCCATTTCTATAGCAACAAATCAATCCAATCAGTAAAACCCAAAATCAAACTTTCATTTTTTTCCCACCTCAAGCACAAAGTCCAGAAGCGGTTTCCCTGTAGCAACAAAAGTATTTGCATTCTTTTCTTTGATCAAAAGGGTCAATTTAGCCATCTCTGCCAACTTCATCAACTTCTGTAGTCATTCATCCATGGTGGGAGTCACAATGTCTTTCCATTTTTGTGTATACTGTAGTCTTGCTGCCATCAACATATATAAGACCAAAAATGTCTGTTGCTGAACACTTAACTTCAATCGGTCACTAAATGAATTGTAAGTCGAGGTCTACCTGTATTGGTTTCTGACTCATAGTAATAATGATGTAAAACACTAATATTGTTGTGTATAAAGCAGGATTCAAGCAACAAAGCCTTCAGGTTCTGGGTTAAAGTGAATTAAGGCTCCTAATTGGCACCCCATAATTTTTGTGCATACTTTGAATGTTATCTTTTACCCAAAATCTGTTGCTGTTTTGTAGTGCTTTTATTTAACTAGATCGTAACCGTATAATACAGTAATTACAAACCTTAAAGAATTGCTTCTTAATGTAGCATTTCACCCCCACCCTTGTTCTGATTCTTGTATTTCAGAATACTGTGCAGTTATCTGTTATGCTACCAAAACATTGAAAAACTAGCAAGCTACAGTACTTGAAGATCAGAAGATAGACGTCTTTACTTTTAAAGAATGCCTTTGATGAATGCAGCATTTTTCATTACCATCTGCTAATATGCTTCTTTTGGAATAAGATCTTGCAAAGGCTGAAAAACAACATTCACAGCAGATTTGAAAAGTAATTAATTCTTGAAACTGACATTTCAGACTGTGAACACAAGAGCTGATACTTGATAATCCCGTTCCACTGATGTGAAAGAGATTTTTTTAAAAGGGTTATTAGCTCTAGTTCAAATATTCGATCATAACTCAATTCAAAAATGGCAAATCCATAAAAAGGTATGTTAATATGCCCTTGCTCACCCCCCAAATGATCACTTCCCTGAGTGGTTATAGTGGTGGATTGCCATTCAGTAGCATTTTTATAATGCAAAGAAATGGTTTTGAATGGTGATTAAATGCATTTTTATTATGCTTTTTAATAGAAAATTACTGACTTTTAAAAAATAAGGGCAATTAACAGATTGCACTTTTTTGTTTTTAAAGATTTCTTGGCTAAGATTTTCCAAAGTGACATGATACGGTTTTTATGTATTTAGTCTATTGTTAAGAAAATATTTGCTTTTATTACGAATGTCAAATCTGTTTTCTTTTGTGTCTTCAATTTAATATGCTGGACTTCATGAATCAGAATAGAGTAACAGAGTTGGAAGGGACCTTGGAGGTCTTCTAATCCAACCCCCTGCTCAGGCAGGAAACCCTACATAAATTGCTGGATTTATTTTCTTTTTATACATTTTGTTTTGTTTTAAAGATCTGTGTGGTGGAAGTGTAGACTTGGTTGATTTATTATTAATTGAATGGCTTTGAGGGGGTTTTTGGACAGCAAAAAAGCAGGATATGTGGCTTTTGTGTGGAAAAGAAAAAAGACATTTTAAGACCACAAAGGACTCAATCATGAATTCCCTCAGTTGTTAATAGTGAGTGTTGAGCAACTCCATTTCCGTTAGAAGTTTTCTGGTGCCCTTATGGCTGTAGTAGCTTCTCCAAACCAAGGCCACAATGTCACTTCAGAAAAAATATTCTCTCAGTTTTGCAACTCACTTTTTATTGAAGACTCCAATACACCATTTACTTCTAGCAAAAGCAGCAGAGTAACAGAATCTAGGTTGGTGATGTTTCTGAGTGTTTGAAGGCATCACAAACCTGTTTGAACGGGCTGTGTACGGCCTCTGAAACAATTCTCTCTACCAAGTCATTCGGGACTTGTTTTTTGCTAAATATTTTGAAGAGTGAAGAACAACTACCATGTCTCTGAACAACATATTCACATTGTTTGGAATGCTGCTGCTGAATGTTTACAATACACACTGTACTGTTGTATCCTTGCAAATTATGCCTTAGTTACGTATGTTAAATACCCCCTTTTCTTTTTAAAAAAGGATGCAATGCTGCTTTTCTCAAATAAAACTCAATGTAACCTCTTCTGTGTTTTACTGATTTGAAACTAGCCATGCCTACTCCTAGGTATTCTTTAGGTTGCTCTGGATGAGCAGAAAAACGATCAGGCTTTTTTTTTAAAAAAAAAATGGATTCTTGAATTATATA